GAAAGATTGTCTTTGCAGCAAAACTTATATATTGTATTATATTGCATTGTAGTTTTACAACATACAGCAAAAATCAAAAGACCAGAACTTCATACGTATGTGGGAGTTGACAGGATGATCTAAATAATATTTTAAAAACCCTGTGATGACAAAAAATAGGTTTTACAACACTAAAACTGCATTAGGTTTCAGTACAGAATAATGAGAGACTACTGATGTGTTAAAAGAAGTAAGACAAATATTTTTTATTGCTAATTTAAAGTGCATAAAATTCCAAAAGGAGAACTGTGTAAGCAGTTTTGCTAATGTCAGTCCAGAATTGACAGTTACATGCTTTGAATACCTTAGAAAGTTACATTCAGAAATGTTAATATTATGTACTATTTTTATCATCTGCAAAGTCTGAGATTTTTTCCAGCGCAAAGTTATAAATGATTTCAGTTAAATGACTTCTGAGACCTTTCATTTAATATCAAATGTTTACTCTTTATAATAAACAATTTATTATATTTTGATAAAGGAAAAAACATAAACACTACTGACACACTAGAGACTACATATACTGTAGTATAAGGACACAGTGAATTCATCAAGTTAAAAAAAAATTTCTGTTAACTAATATGTCACTCCAACAGAAGCTTGACAAAGAAAGCAGAGACCAAATCCCATGCTTCTTAATTAGCTCTCATGTATGTGAGTTTACACCATTCAGTCTGGCAATTGTTACTTACTATACAGTATATTATCACTTATATACATCTATTTTACTGCACTACAAAGCATTATTAAAATCATTTTACAGTTACGGTTGTAGTTACCATATCACTGTACATATATAACATCCAATACATGTACTGGAGAAACTAAATTATATATTTAGTTAAATTTAGCTTTTTTCACAAATAGTATCTACATAGTGTAATATAAATAGTATATTTTCAGTATAGCATCTTCAAGCTTAATGTTTCCCATTTTATGTTTTTGATACGTACATGCAGCGCCATGCAATTATCTAAATTTAACATTGTCTGCTAAGTGTTGGACCATGCATAAATTTGGTTTAATTTCTTTTGAATTTGTTTGCTAATCCTCTATACCAGTATCTAGATCATTGATATAAATTAGGAAGCTCGGTGATCCTAATAGAGTGGTCTCTGCAGCACTCCACTAATTACATCACCCCAATTTGAGCTTATGCCCCTTATCTCCATCTTCTGTGTCCTGCCCATTAACCTGTTCTTAATCCAAGTACATGCATTACCTTGAAAGCCTACTGCCTGCAATTTGAGAATTAATCTTTAATGAAGAACCTTATCAAAAGCCTTCTGAACATTTACATACAGTACACTAAATCATATGTTCTGTATCGATGCTGTTAATTTGTACAAGCATCTCTTGTACAACAAGATAAGCAAGACCTACAATTTTATAAGATGATATATCTGTAATAATTTTACTTTTCCATTTTTATCTGCTTACCTACAGTACATTTTACTGTTACTTTCTTATTTTCCTATCATCATATTACATTTTCTCTGTGATCTTTACCTAATAATAAATGTACAGTATAGAATCTACATTTTATCTTCTAATTTCTTGGACATGTAGCTATTGTGACTAGGCTTACTAGCATCACATATTTGCTCTGTTTTCTAATTATTTGCACTCTTACTGTATGTATTTCAGTCCTTAAAGTGGATAAATTAAAATGTGTCACAGCTGGTTTTTAGGAATTGCTGCAATAATGCATAGTTCATATCTGAGAGAAACAAAGACAGTGACTTCAACTTATTCACTTCACTTTTAGTGGAGACCAAGTGGCATGAAAAATTCCACAAACAGCTCTTTTATATCAGGTTCAATGATATTCCCAAACATATTTAACATATTTGTCCTAACACCATCTGATTCTGGTCCTGCTGACTTTTAAAATTGTAATGTTACTTCCACTATAAGAGATTTATTAGACAAGCTTAAAATAAAAATTGTATTTGGAATCAATAATAATATATTTGTTGTGTGATGTCTTGATTTGATTTTGTGTATAATATGTATCTCTTCCACTGGACTGACCTTGAACTATTTAAAATGAGTATTTCAATATACTTTCACATTCACACCAACAATTCGTTCTTTGAGGTTTGTATTGTAGCACTTTGAGAATTCATTTTAAAAAACAAAACTCTTAATTAGCTGACATTTGTGTCACTATTTAGTATTATGACTATTTAAATCGTAGACAACTAGTGAATTTCAATATGATTCCACCTCATGACACATAAATAAGAAATATCTTCTGCGGTACTTGGCAGCTGCATGAATAGCCTTTCTACCTACAATAACATGACCTTTTTATTTTTAGAATGACAAGTATGAAACTGCTGAAATAATAATACTGGAGCAGACATTCAATTCCCCACTGAACTAGCCTTTCTCTGCAGGAGTTCTTTTCACCTAAGTACAGCTCATTTCACTATAAAATTGTTTTTTTTTTAAATATATATATAATGCCTGTGTCTGATACTAAACTCTTTGGTTATTGTAGTACACTGGGCAATAATCCAATTAACAAAGAAGCAAATAGAACCATCTTTCACTCAGCTCAAGTCACTCACAATAAAGACCAGCTCC